AAATCCCTTTCTCAAATCTGCAGAAGAAAACCAGCAGTCTTAGGTGCCCATCTGTGTAAAAAAGTAGGTGTGACATGGGCAAAATGAACAGAAAAGCCAAGCCAGGGATCTGTCCCATGCTAGGGGCATCTGGAAGAAGTTTTCTGCCCTTTTCAGGTGTGAGAGCTGAAATCTGTGCTGTGCACCCCAAGAAATTTGTCCTTGCTGCTCAAAAGTCTCTCCTTTCCTCAGGCAGTTTCAATTTTAAGAAATGCCTTTTGGAAAGTGCCTGTGGAGTACAGACTTCCAAGTCTGGCTGAAAAGATTTCTAGGCATATAATGCTGACCAGGTTCTACACACACACACACACACACACACACATAAAATTTCTCCAGCACCCTAATTCGAACAGCACTAAACAAACCCATTTCCCTCCGAAATTATACACTGCAACTTTCACAAGTAAAGATCTCCCAATGCTGGCAGTGTCTTAGGGTGAAAACTGACATTTTCCCCTTTTCAAATTTTCTCAATGCTTTAAAATTTCAGTTCCAATCCTAAAATCTGAACTTTTTCAAAATTCAGAAGAACACATGGCGTTTATCTGATGGCCTGGTGCCACATTTCCCTAAAGACTTCAGTGTAATCACATTTTAATTCTCACCTTAATTAGGTGGACCTAAGTCTCCATAGAAACAAGATGAGGGCACCTGCCATGTGCCTGAAGATAAGGGGAACATTTATGAAATAAGTCTTCTCAGCCCATCACAAGAAATAGATACTTGTGCTAATCCTGAGGGGAAAACAGAATAGTTGGCCAAGCTTCACAAATAATATGGAAAAAATCCAGGGACTTGGGGTTCTGGAATCAGCAGTATTAAACTTCCCATCCTGGCAATGTGCCGACTAACACAGTCCCATTAAAACAGCTGACCTTCCCCACAGCGCTCTGGGACTGCACCCGGGCACAGGATCCCCCGCACCAACCAGATCATCTCCGTAAACAAGGTCTTGCAAATCCAGGTTCAGTTTTCTAGGATAAGCCCCAAAGCAGGTTTTCCCCTTAAAAAAGCTCCTAAAGAAGCTTGGCAATTCAACATCTGACTTGGAGAAGTTTAAAATTACTGGACCACCTCTTGTGAAATGAAACCTAATTAAATATTTGGCTTCACAGTGGAGGTAGAGAGTAACCACCTCTTTCCAAGAATTTGGTTTCAGATCTCTAAATGTCCTCTTATTTTCAAATCCAATGATTTCAGAAGTGACATTATGTTCCTAAAATGTGTTTGGCATGAAATAAACAGATATTAGCACTAATAAGTTTTCAGAGAGGCAAGGGAACCTCACTTTGCCAAAGCATTGCCTGTATTACCTTGCAGCTAACAATGCTTTGTGGTTGCATGGACTTTTAACCCAAAATGCAAATAGAGCCCAAGGGAAAGAATTCAAATTTGCTATTTATCATTCCTCATTTTTCTTTCCAATTGTTAATTCAGGTTTTGGATTACTTTACAAATTCTGTCAGTCAATCCGAAGGAGAAAGACCTTTAAGCTTATCTCTACCCACAACCCAATTTAGTACCAGCTGCAGTAAATTAATAACTCTTATAATGAGAAACAGTCTAGCAGAATTTGGTTAATCTTTGTGCTCCACAGGTAAAATAGTGAATGGCAAGGTTTCTGTGTTACATCAAATGTATTATATTGTATTAAAAAAATCAAGTCCTTTAGACACAAGATAAATGTCTTATAATAATACTTACATAATTATATAAATGCTAATATGGTAGCCTTTGGCTCATCACTAGATCCCTAAACTCTGACCCTCTGACAGAAACAGGAAGATCATATTAGAGGTCCAGGCAAATATTTGAAGAAAAAACATTTTGTTATTCAGAGGTACAAAATTCTTCATCACAGCTAAGATGGAAGTCTCATTTAAGAGCTTCTGCACATTGCTTTGAAAAATGAAGGAATGGGAAAAGCATGAAACTGAGGGAAAACATAACTTTAGGCTTAAAAACAGAATAAGGGGAGGAAAAAAGTTAAGAAGTACTCCTAATCTTATAGATAAATTTTGTTGTTATTGTTACCCACCACCTGCATTTTTTAGCAGAGATAAAAGCTTCTTTTGACAGCCCTTTAGGGAAGCAATTTGTGAAAGGTGCTTTAAAGGATGATTTATCAGAAAAATTGTAATGGACTTTTGGAAATGGAAGAATTATCAGACCCTCAACTATTAGCAGAAACACTAACCCCACTCCAGGCTGGAAACCTGGAAAACAGAGATATTTCAGAAGGCTTGAAGGAAATATGTAAACAGGGAAAAAATTTGATGTGGCACAATACCCACGTCCTCCTGCCTTCCCCCTCCAGTTCAGTAGCTTCGAAGAACCAGGAATGGGGAAGGTGCTGCCTGTATAAACTGAGCACTGATGATCCTGGAAGTAGCCATCAGTGTTCAGAGAGAGACTTCATCAGACAAAGACGCATTTGTTCCCTGAATTGGGGCAAACAGAAGCTTACACTTAACTTTTGCTAACGTGAAGTTCAGAGGCAAGAGTGCACAGCTGACAGGCCCTGGCTCCTTTCAGCTTCACTGCTCTACCCGAGTATCCATGGGCCATGGACAGCATTGAGGTTAGTTGCCAATACCTTAAATTCTCCCCCAAGTGATTGACAACCACCAACAACCAAAGGTTTTTCATAAGTTTATAGACATGAGCATGGAATGGCAAGTACAGAACTGCAGATTTTTCCTGAACAGCCCTAATTGTGCTTCTCTATTCTTGCCTCCCTCCATCTGAGTGTGGGACACACAGGAGTTCCCTGCACACTCCCATAATATTTAACATCGTTAAGGTTACAAGCATTAGATAGAAACTACGGAAATCGTATGTAAAAGTAGCTGGATTGCCAGGCAGTGTGGAATGGGCAGAAACTATGGCAACAGCTTACAGTTTACTCTTTGTACACCACAGAAAAGACAACTCTTTTCCCACGCTCATTACTCACATTACTATTTTTAAATACTAGTGGCATGGCACATTTTTCATACAGCACACTATACCGTTCCAGCTCCATCTCAAAGCTTGCCACCAGATAACCCCTTACTCCGCATATTCTACATTTATCACATCATCCACTTGAGCATTATAAATTTTTATTTTTCATTATACGAGTTGAAACTGTGAAAGAAAATTAGGGTTCAAAAGAGCATTATAAATCTGTGTTTCTTGACTTCCAAACACCAATGCATTTGCTATCCATTTTGAACGCGTAAGCCCTTACCTTCCAGGCCATGCAGTGCAAATTTTTCTCCTAATATATTTATTGTTAATAGAATGAAATTTAGGTTTTTTAAGAAACATGCTCATTAGTAAAATATATTTATAGTACCACACCCTTTCCCCGCTCCCAGCTACTCAGGGACTGAAAATTTTTTACATTTAATATTGATATTGGTGATGAGAGAAGCATGAGGGTTTGAGGGTTTTCCTACTTGTTTCATACTAGCAAGAACTGTCCAATTCAGAAGCTTAATTTCTGTGCATCATACTAGCAAATCTACAGCAACTAAAGAATCAAAGTATTAAATAGCAGACTGTGACAGTTCAAAAGGCCTCAGAAAGTCCTCAGAACACCCTTAAGGAATGTTGCCATCTTGCATAATAAGAATTCCTTCACAAACGTTCCACTTTGCATAAACAAGTGAGTTTCAGAAGAATAACTTTAAAGTGTGAGTTACAATAATGCTGAACTCTTCCAGTGTTCTACACAAAGGTTTTCACATTGCTTTTTTCCCATTTTACTTTACTGAACTATGCCAGAATTTTGCAGAAAGCTAGAAAATGTCATGTTAAGCGTTCTCCTTAATCCTATGGGCTTCTTATTGCAATATCACTCTGTCATTCCTTACAGGGAGAAGACATCTCCCTTCATATAATAAAATGTGTACCATTCAGCTCACAAGTAAATATCAAGTTTGATCTTATTTTGCCTAGGCTAAATTTCATGCTTAGTTCTTTATCTTTAAATGCTTATAAATTGTGTAGCAAGGGTTATAAAAAAAAAATATTTGAAAGCTGGAGTATGTTTTCCAGCAGATATATTTTACAGATAGGTTAAGAGCTCTGAATAATTTTGTTTACTGAGTGCCAAGCAACACAAATTCACATTTGCCATAGCAGAATGATTCCATTAGTTCACATCTGTCTTAAACAGCAAAACATGTGTTTCCCCACTAATGAATTTCAGACCAATAATTTCACATCCATCACGTGGTTGAAATAAATCCATTACAGTCTGTGGCATAACTTAGGAGTTTTGTGGTTGGGTACACAGAAAACAGACAGATTTTCTGCCAGTCGACAGAATACTAAGATGATCCTGATTTATCAGAAACATTTTAAAATGAGCAAGTGAGCCCAACTTTGTAAATCTTAAGCAAGATAAGCAACATTTTATACTGAAGAAAAAAACCAGTAATTTCTGCAGTTTCTTTACCAGGGTTTATCATTGCAGGACTGACCGTTGTTCTCATCAAACCACTGGAGGGGGAAAATCGCACATAGTGAAGGAAGCTGTTTTGCAACAGTCACCACTTTAGAAGTAATACGTTACTAAATGAGCAATGTTTTAAATGATTGGTGTTTAAGGCACTAACCCTCAGATCACCTAAGTAAATGTAACCAATACATTAGAACGTTTACCAATATGTGGAATTGTCTTGGAGTAGTGTGTCCTAAAACAGCTATTTTATTAAAATCCGTAGTCCCAGAAGAACTCCAAAAATCTTCAAATGCAAAAAGGGTGGAGCTAACACTTAAAGTTACTGCACGTCCTGTAGCAGTAAGTTGCTGAGGGTGTTTTTTATATTGTCTGAAGAGCCAGAGTTCACAAAGTAGTAGTGATACAGATATATATGATATGCTTCAATGCTCCAACATGCACCAGCTTTGAAACACTACCAACATGCAACATCATTTCTCCTGAAGATGATATATATCAGAAAACATACCTCTATATCCTGTATTATCTTTGGGTATAAGGACCTGTAAAATGAATTTGGGGGGCCATCTGTTGGTCTGTTTTTAAACAGGTACTGATCCCTAGAAAGAACCAGAAACATATTTTTCAGTGTACCACAAAGAATCCAAACTTTAAAGGAATTCAGAATCTGCACAGAACAAAACCTTATGACATATTCTCACAGAATACTTGTAAGAATTTTTAGTACTGCTGTTACAACCCTTGTGACTTTACAATTTGACAGCTGTATTTAAAATGTCCAAGGCTAAAAAGAGAACAGGTGTTTTCCTTATGGATTTCCAAATTAGGGTTCACTCCTTTGTAAGGCTTTTAGCCAGCAGGGTGTCATCCTCTCGCTCTTTACAATATGCCTTGCATTTTCTTAGGCATGCCACTAGAGAGCACAGAAAAACAGCTTTCTAAAGCAGAACACCTCATCTCTTCAGATACTTGGTAGAGGATAGAAAAACTCCATTGCCACAGACACAAATGGTTTCTCAGAGAGAGGCTTCTGCAGCTCAATCATTTATTTTACACTTTAAGCAAAAAAAAAAAAAAAATTAACTGGAAATACTTCATGCAAGAAAAAGCCCTTCAAAACATATTGTTGCTAGTTTTTTGTGAGCTAATTGTTAGTTCTCCCTACAAAACAGAAATTACAAATTTGCAGACAGACTTACCGCAAGAAAGCGTTGAAAGACACTGGTGCACAAAAAGACAGGAACCAAAGCCAAAGTAGAAATGGGAGCTGGCAGCTTTCGCCACAGCTACCCACACTAGTCCATAGCAGAGATAAGAATCTCAGTGATACCAATTTACTATAAACTTACTTTTTGGCAGAGCTCGTGATTAGGGAAATTTGTAAAGGAGAACACTGTAAAAAGTGAGTTTAGTTATTGTCAAGGTACTTACCAACCCCTTCTTTCTGACAGTCCCTTCCATAGCGGATCTGTGCGTACCATTCTTTCAATCAATTTTTTCCATAGCATTCCCTCAGAGATGACTCTCTGCCATTCCTTACATACCAGCTCTGCCGCACAGAGTGATCTGGCATCAAGATAGGAAAGGATGTTTTCTGCTATGTGATCTAAGCCTTGCTCTACAAAGAAATAAAGGCAATCAAAACGTCAATGACTTCACAGAAAACTACTAAACAAGTTTTGCAATACATTCAGAGAAAGCCAACACTGCTTTAGGGCACTGGAGCAAGGTGATAATTAAATTATCATATGTACAAGCACTAGTCACAAATGAATCCAAGCTGTTACAGCGAAACATCTTTAACACTTTCCTCCTTTCCTAGCAAGACATGACTCCACAGGAACAGAGTCATGTCCAGCAGAAGCATGAGCAAAGGTCCTGCAAAAACTTCCTTGCATCAAATGGAAGGATATCTTTTCTACTTAAGTGTTTTCTGTAACCTGCAGGTGCCAAATCCACTCCTGAATTTTGTTCGGAACTCTGGTGGTAGAGCATATGCCAGAGATACCATGCCCTGCAGCCTGGTGTATGGAGGTGAAATCAATGAGAATGACAATAATTCATTAATTACAAATGGTGCTTTAACATCCAAGGCAGTTATTCCAATTCATGGTTGACCACCGCTAGATTCCATACTTAGGGAAATTACTACTGAATGACTTATAACAGAAGCTGGGGGTTTTGAGGCTTCTCTTCAGCTAGGCAAAAATTCAAGAGGGACAAGTTTTTTGAAGCAAGTTCAAGCTGAGTAAATCAGAACATAACATTCAATACAGCGCTGATTTGGGGGCCAGTGGATGCAGTTGTTTCCAGTATGAGAATCAGCTAAGAAACCTCAGGATCAGCAGGAGTCAACTCTCAAATAATGAGAGGTGACAGTTTGGCTTCTGCACCCATAGATTCCAGTGCAAAGTAAATTTAGTTTAGCTGCACAAAGATTTCTCAATGTATTTACAACAGCCATAAGAACAGATATTACCTTAGCATCATTCCCGCATCTGCTGCTCTCCCACCCTCAGGGCGCGCTACCTTCCATGGCAAGGGAGCGAGGTGTGAGTTTGCGTACTGCTGATTTGACAACCCTAGTCTTACTGGGTGGGAGAATGAGTTCAGCAATATACCAGAAGAGAACTGCCAAGTAAAACAACATTACTCCAAATGAAAGCCCTTTGGCAGCACTTAAACATCCAAGAAACATCTACCTGGGCGACTCTCATGCTCTCATTTCACCTGCAGCATCAGGCGTGTTGGTCAACAAGCAGTACTCGTGGACCAAGGAAACACTGACTTTCATCATGAAGATCCCAGCTACCAGAAGCAGCTTATTAACCCCTGTGGTCCTTTTATATCATGGTAGGGTTAGATTTAAATCGTAAATGCACTCATCACACTAGCAGTTCAAATATATCAGAACTGGGGTCCTACCCATGGATCCACAGCTATGAAAGAACATGCTGCAATATCTTAATTCATAAATACCAGTTAATACTTATCCAAAAGCACTCGGTACTTAAGCTGAAGCTGATAGAAAGAATAAGCACATCAATAAAGATGATGAATACAGTAAGCTGCCACCACAGATCTATCAAGAAATAAAACAGGTGGAACACTGCATGCGTTTGCTTATGGTCTTTGCCTAGATCTGGTCTCCTGCTGATGGTGTTTGATTTAAAAACGTGACTGTTGTTGAGTAAAGGTACATACATAGAAACCACTTTGATAATACATTCACACTAAATTTAAAATAGCAATCAAACTTTTCTTGTTCATATTTCAACTAGTGTCACTGGTTCCACAAAAAAAAAAAAAAAAAAATCACTATTAAGTCTGTTACTTGTTTCAAAGGACCTGCAATTTTGCTTTCCCCAAAACTTCACTAAATCAGAGATCTAGAAGAGCTTCCATTTTCATGAATAACATATGCCAGTTGGCCAAGCATGAAAAAAAATATCTTTCAAACTAGGAGATGACAACCTTTTTAATTTTCCACTTTATTTCATGACAGCTTACTTTAGGCTTCAAATAGTAATGAAAAAGAAACTACTGTTAATTTTTTAAAGAATTAAAGAAAGTGTGTTCATATAGTCCTCTACTAAATTTGGCATGGCCTTCAAAAATGAACAGCAACACAAAGGAGAAACCAATATATGTAGTTGAAGAGCATTTGTTCATTTCTTCTACATAATTTAGAGAACTATAAAAAGGCTTCAGAGAATGGTGAAAGCTCCTAGCAATGTAAACTGAGTTTATGCAAATTTTTCAATACCAGTCATAACAACATAACCAAATAACTGAAATGCAACAAGGTCCAAACAACTGGTGGGTCTCAAATCTGACCACTTCCAAACCAGCAAATTCTCTCCTAACAATACCATGTCTCAGAGCAGCTTTAAGCTGCACCATCTCCTACATGAGCACTTTGAAGAAAATACCAGGGCATTTAAATACATTGTAAAAGTGCTCTTCCAGTGTGCCACTTCCCAATCTTTCTAGTAAATAACAACTTTGCGATTCTAAATACTGTTTACTTAGGATATATTTATCTTACTGTGATGTTATGTGATTTGAAGCAGTTCTCAAGGTTTTTCCAGAAAATACAATCATTGCAAGGTCATTTTCAAGAGTTAGTTTAAAATCATGAATCCTTGGGTATCAAGAAGACAAACTAATTCATTGTATAAAGGGGAGGACACAGCTAGATACAAATAAAGAAAACAAACAGGTCTGTTGAGTAAGCACTTCTCTGATTTTGAAGGTTACAGGTATGAGCAGGGCACACACCATGTTCTCATAGGAACATATCTAACAGTTATTTTAGACTTCAGTACAAAATAGTCATGTTCAACAACATAAGATCAGCCTCTACAGAGCAAGTGACCATTTAATACATTTATCACACCGTAATCACCCAACACAGTGCTCTACATATAGTTTTTCCCAGCACAGAGCACATTATGTTTTGAAGAGGAAGAACTTTCTACATGAAGCATTTCAGCTCCCAAAGCAAACAGTGCAGAGGATATGACAATTAACAGCCATAATTGCAAACTCTGCATTAGCAGAGCAGCACACTGAGGTTCCTATACAAAAGGTGTTTAAGGCTCCCATTTCACTGCACCAGTTTTCTTTCAATAGCCATTATACATCACCTGACCCCAGATCACCCTCTCCTCCCTCTCAAGAGTATTAAGTTAATGCGTTGACTATCCTCCCAGCACAGTTCAGGGCTAAATGTGTATTAATATTTACCTCATATAGGGATAGTTAGTCAAATCATTAGGTAATAAATGAGACTATAGTGCTAAGAAATGACAGAATTGATAATTCACTTCAACCAATATCAGGCTGCTATGTTTCAAGGTTACTAACTAAACATAAAAATGAATGACTGAAAAGCTTGGAAGAAGCTAGAACCACCTACGTTACAGTTAAACCAGCAGACCCAGAAATTACTAAAAAGAGAAGAAAACACCTTGATGCCAACGGTGTTTCTGCAAAATATGGCAGAATGACAAGTGCACTGACTTTCAGCTTCCAGCTCTCCCAGAGACACAAGGATGCTGTCGTGTCCCTTTTGTGCAAAAGGCATTTTTAATTAGCAGTGGCGTGGCGGAAGAACAGCGGCACACAAACTAACCTTTGCAGATGACCTTAATTCCCCTTTGTTAGAAGAAAAACACACTCCAGCTACGCCTGCGTTCCAGAAAAGCCGAGAGCACAAGATACACTGATGACAGGCAAATATTTCAATGTCTGCACTTTTAAGGTGTAAAATTCTTTACTCATGCACCTGAAAGATTGCAGGTGAATGCGCAAATGAATGATGTTTAAGTTCATCAAACAAACCATCTGTACAGCCAAAGGAACACCTGTCCTTATGCACACTGTGGTCAAAACACCAGTGTTTATCTCTAGTAAAGATGGGATGACAGGATCTATGCTGAACAGGTGCCCATCTACTGGATGCTTTTCTCATTCCAAAGTTGAGAAGTGTAATTTTGCCGAATTGGCATCATTTGGTAAAACCATCGCCACATGTATACTAACCTCAGATGAGAGAAAATTAAATGCTTTTGGACAAAGAGCACTAAAGCAAACCATAACTCTGCAGTTATTTCAACCATGTACTTTAAGAAAGGTTATGGGACAAAGTAGCCATGCTGACCCTTGAATATATTGCTAACACCCTGCTTACAGTTTTGAGCCATTTTTGAAATGTAAAGATCATGAACATGTCAGATGTGAAATGAACAATTGCCAAGGAAGAAAGTGTCAGACTAACATAAGCTGTTCAAATGATATCCATGCACAAAAAAAATATTTTCGAAGTTTATCTGTTACTGCCATCTCCTGGCAACAAACTAAATAATTATCCTCCCCTGAAAGAGAGATGACAACTCCAAGGAGCTGTAAAGTTACCAATAACCAACCTCATAAAAAGGCTACACTGCAAAGCATCCTTTGAACTCAACAAGTGCATCGTTCTGTCATTTTTTGGTGGTGGTGGTTTTGGGGTTTTCCCCCTATTCTAAAATACCTGTACCATCTTCCAGGAGATGCTGAACATGTCAGCTTGGGAGTGAAACTTGAAATTCCTTTCAGATTTAGGACTGCTGCATTACTTGTTTTTCGATAGCAGGCACGTCTTTTTGAATCAAGAACATACACTTTAGGAGCTTCATATGCAGCACACAGCGTATTCTATTATTAAAAATCCCTGTCATATTTTAAATCATTTGTGAGACTAAGAACATACATGTCATTTAAGTAGTTTCAGAAGAATTTGATTTAGATGACAATTTTGAGACCATAAAAAAAAAGGTATTTGGATCACAGCCATGATGGTAGACAACACACATCAGGGCTTGCTTTCTATCCTAACACCTTTTAGCATGAGATAAACATAGGATAGTTGAAGTCCATGGTTTTACGATTTCTTAATTAGAAATTAATGTGATGGCTGAGTAATACAATGTGTGCATTCATCAATTTATGTTCAACTACTTTTAGTTTTCTTTTCCTTGTGAAATACAATTTTTCAAAGAGATATTTCTCCAGATTAAATACCAGTGCGCAGAACTGATTAAGAATAATGATACATGACAAAGCAGGAACATTGTGCAACTGTTCAGTCTTTCACACAACTGTATTTGAAAGAGCAATAACTAATCTTCTGAAAAACAGTTGTGAAAATCTGGATCCAAAGCTACCTCACGCTTCAAGTCTGGAAAAGCAACCTGTACGATGAAGGTATCACCAACAACTCATCCAAAAAACTAAGCCTTTCTTGGAGGGATCAATGTTGCCATTTCTGGCTGTCGACAAGAAGATTTGAAGCAGGGGTGGCGAGCTGGCAAACGGCTGCAGAGGCACCAGGGGTCATTAATGCCACCTCCTCAGGCAGAGGGGTACGCGCCTCACCGTGCCACCGGAGAGCTGGTCCCGGCGGCCCTGGCCAAAGCCTCTCCACTTCGGGAACTGTGTGACAGTGGCTGTGCTCCAGAGCACAAATGGGACTGGGTATTACACCACGTTTGGTGGCTTTCTGTGGCATGTGAGGAACTGAGAAATATCAGGCTAAGGTCCTTCTCAAAATCCAGTATTTAAAAAAAATCATTTCACTGTAACATACATACCAAGCATTTAGAGACAGGGCTAGAACACTGTTCCTAAGGAGAGTAACTCCCCAAATAAACTCAAAGAACGTAGAAAAATCTTCCTTCCTAAAATGACTTTTGTTTTCTACAGGTTAGGAATGTTCTCAACAAGATTTAGACTTGACTGCAATCTGCAGAAGGACGTTTTATGGAACTATTGTTTTATGGAACTATCAGACCAAATGTTTGGAGAGACAAAAACCAGAGTGATCAGTGCTCACGCTTGTTTTTATTCACTTCACTAGCCCAAGGCTTTTTTGCTTGTGGTGTAATTCTAGTACCAAATGTTCATTAATGTTTAATTGAACTAAACCAACGTTTTCAATAAAAGCTAACTGTAATCAGCTACCAAATCTCCACACCAGCAATAATCTACACACGTATGCATACCAATCTGGGACTGTACACTTCTAACACACACAACCTGTTCATTATGAAGCCAATACTACATTGGGGTTTAAGTATCAACTGCAAATTACCAGGCAGAAGCCCTTTATTATAAAGATGCATAATTTTCACAACTGTGCATAACACTGGTCACGGTTAAAAACAGACTTTTACAAAGTCAGAACCCAAGTGTTTTCTGATGTTGAAATACGGCAATCTCGTCTTCTACGAATACACAGAGACTTGAAAGCTGCATACTGAGCACAAATACACAAATGCTTTGTTTTGCCACCAAGTCTATTCTTAACATTTTTACTGCTTGCAAAAGCTCACAAATTTAAACTGTTCACATTAAAAAAGACATCAAGTAAAATATTCACTAATTAACATAGTAGAAACAGGTCCAAAGCACAGATACTTAGATAGGCCCATTATAATTATTTCAGACAACATGTAGGCCTAAGTTTAAGCCACATTAAGGCCTGAAACAGCTGCATATACCTATTTTACATTAAAAGACAGTGAGCATTTAGTTTTATAAACAGTTTCTGAAATAGGTACTAAAACCTAGGAATTTTCTTTAGTAAAATACATCTAGCATTTATTGGTACACTTTTAGAGGAAAAACATTACTCCCAACTTTTAGGCCCTTACAAGAGCTTTTGCAGTTTTATAGAAAATGGTGAAAAACTCCAGCTGCTGTTGATTAGAGGTACCAGATGAAGGTTTGGTTCAATTTCAATAACAAATTAAAGCAATTAAAATCCACATGGATTTCAAAGTTCAATGTGTAAATATCACTTTGTATGAAGATGAAACCCAAACATGGGATGTCAGCTCTATAAAACTGACTAACATTAGATACTAAACAGTCACTTAGATCATGCAACTGCACAGGCTTGTACTATTTTAGAAACGAATTTCAAAAGAAGCTTGGCAGGGTTTCACTTGCCTGACACAGTGTACAGTTTTCTTACACTTTTAACACACAAAACAGATATGAAAGGGATTTTCCTTCTTGATCAAGGGTGACAAGGTAGTGCTCAAGGGTCAAAGTTGTAATTTGTTTAAGGAAAGGGCACAACTTGGATAAGACCATGCAAGGAATATTAACATCTTTAAAATAATTAAGAGAATCACAAGCACAGAGGTGACATAAGTTATTCTTGCAATTATGCTGCCCATTATGCACCACTGTCTTTTGAGAGTTGTTTCAGACGTGTTAGAGGAAGCAGCACTGGCAGATGTGAAGGAACAGTGAGTACAGGCACCCTGATCACTGGGACTTGCAATAGCTGATATGTGGTCAGCCATACTCCCCAATGGTGTTTAGCAGCAAAGGAAAGAGCCCAACTTGTAAGAACAGACCCTGCAGACTAAACATTCTGCTACCACTTACAGAAAAGCACACCAGAATTATCACTTTTTTCCACTGAAGTGAAGGGAAGCCAGATACCACAAACTTTTTCCATTTTTCTTGCATTCTCACAGGTGTGAAATCAGTAGGAACTGTAGCAAGTAAAAACTATTACCGTTTAAAACAAATGAATTTTACTTAAGACAAGTGAAACTATCTTTTAAAAGACAGTACTTTAGTGTTATCTTTTATTGTGATGTTAGTCCAACATGGGACTGATTTCAATTAGCTCAGATTAAGTTCTTGGGTAAATTTATACAGACATTCTTCACATAGCACACTACCTTCAGGAAAGGCTGAGTAAGGGAACAGTTACCCAGTATTTACATCTTAAAAAACAACAGAAATTGTAAACATAAGCATATATCTATATATACAAACGTGGTGTAAATAAGTGTCAGTTTATGCAGCTCCCCAAAATTTCTTAGGAATAAATCTATAATGTTAAAGAACAGTATAACTCCATATCAGCCTTGAAGTATAAAAGCAAACAAAATAAAATTGTAAATGAAGCTCATGCTTGCACATGATCACCACGACTGTCTATTTCACTTTATTTTTTAGTTAATCCCAGACACTCCCTGGAGAAATCAATATTCAATATCTTCAAAACAAGCTGGGAAGAAACATCCACACTACCTAGAGGAGATAGCTCTCCACTCAAAATGAGGAGCACATTTTTATGTGTGTGGCCAGACAAGCTGTCTTCTATAAAATAACTTCCATGAAACTCAGGGTGGGGGCGGGGGGGAAGGACGCTCCCTTCCTTTCATAGCCCTCTTTCATATTTTTAAGCCTGTTTTTTAAGAAAATAGAGCACATACGAAATTGCATATCACTTCCTGTGTCCTACCTCATGTTCTTCGTTCCTCGCCAACTACCAAGAAGCTCGTTTCAACCATGCTTGACACATGAGCCAAAATCGCCCCCATCACCTCCAAAAGTTGAATTCCTCCAGGTTTTGTAAAAATATAGCAGCATTACAGGGAACAGAAGCCCGTAACATCTGAGCAGCATTCTGCCCAGATACTGGCAAAGTCCATACACGCAAGACCACCTAAGCACACCAATGGCCACAAAAGCTTCAGAGCTTGTAATACGACCGACCTTTAAAGGAACTTTACTTCAGTGGTCCCTGTGCTCAAAAAATTACCAATTTCCAATTCCTTTTACGATTTGTATCACCTCCTTATTCACCCTCAGCGTTCACTGTTGTGTCTTGGCATTCTTGGGATAATATCCACAGGCTACTCACTCACTGCAGGTGTGAATCTGGGCTATTTTACTGCCAGTAGCAAACAGAACATTTTGACCATTTATTTCATGTTTACTTCCCACTCTGGAAACAATGTCCACACATTTACCTTTCAAAGAATAGAATGAATCATTCTCCCCAGCAGCAAAAATCCAGTCATATGATTCCTTCCAGAAAATCATGGAAAAATATACACAACTTACCAGGAGATCGAAAGCTAGAGATTCTACATACCTAGTTATTACTGCTGGTTTGTTTTTTTAAGAAATGCATATAGCAAGTGTAAGAACAGATTTCATATTCAAACTATTTATACAGGTTTAACACTAATAGGTGGCAGGAGAGTTCTGAACAACTGAAGGAAGGAATCAAGGCTGGACTACAATAAAAATCCACAAGTGCTGTTGCTCTTGAGTCAGTAACAAGACCAAACTAGGTTCACTCATCTAAGCAGGCAGCTTATTTAAGATTTAGGAAACTTCGAACACAACTTAAATGTACTAAGGACTTCACAGATGAAAACACCTCTATAGTATTTTCTACACCTACAGGGTTCATATGAAACAAGAATTCAGACCAGAGCTTGCAGAGATAAAAACTTTTGCAACAACGGAGTTCCAATTTAAACACAAACTATTATTCAGGATATGCTACTCAAACTACTTTTACATGGAACAACACTGGCATCCAGTGGCCAATTCAATTAATCACAGAAGTGAATGACTTCAGCTACCCTCCTGCCCTTCTTTTGTCTAGGCAGCATCACTTTAGATATACGAAACAATCTAAATCTGGAGGATGTTCCAAAAAGTTTGCATACACCCAAACTATTAAAAGCAAAAAAAGTATTTATAAATGCACCTGTTGTAAAATAAATATATATTAGTTTACCTGGTAACGCAGTGATGAAGTCCCGTTGTAACATGGGCTTCAAGTAAGAGTTAATATGTCCATGCTGATAGTGACACATTCGTGAAATAAGGTGTTCCACAAATTCAACTTGATCTGATTCAGACCACTGGTCAAAATATTTAATACACAAGTCTTTTTCCTTTTCGTAGTTTCCTTCTGATGGTCTTTTTCTTGAGACAATCACAGATGAAGTTCCATTACTTATCTGTTTTTAGAAAAGGAATATCAATATTTAAATACAAACAATAGGAACAACTTTATAAGAACTCTCTCAGTGAAGAATATGTGAGAAGGTGCAAAGAAATAATCAACAACACTAAAAATAATTCTTAAAGCTATGAGTTACACCATATAAATTTCATCTTTCATAGACAAAGATTAATGAAAGGACTTTGAACATAACCGTAAGTTACTACTTACACTGAAAGACTTCAATTCCCTTACACCTCTTACCATTTAATCAGCAAGGAACTTAATTCTTTCTAGAACAAACTTTTCCAGATTAAACCAGTGGTTTCTGCTATATATTTCAGTTTGCTTCTGCTGTGTATTGCAGTCTGCCTCCACAAATGATTTATACACGTTCCAGCAGTTAAAATAATACACATTTAGAGACATACCAAAGTTGGGTATTAACACTTAATTAACACAAAAATTAAAGACCCTCATGTCAGTGTTGAACTGCTTGTCCATAAATGAAAACTGATAATTACATGAAGTCAAGGTCTTGTTTTGGTTTTGAAAAACAGCTCATGTCAGTGTTTCAGACAGCCACATAAAAACAGCATTCAAAATCCTGGGAGCTTTAGCTACAAATAAGGATGCTACAAGAACACCACTCCAGCACCTGCTGCTAATTAGTAAAGAGAACCAGAGATTGATGCCAGGCTCTTCTGAGCCCTTCAGAAAACCAAGAGGGCTGCTGGGGAACAACTGTCAGCTCTCTGAAATATTTCCAAACTTCTTCAAAGCAAACTGGTTGCAACTCCTTGCCATGTGAAGGCGTTAAATTTTTCCTTTTAAATGACAGTCACATGCTCAGAAAGGTTGAACTGTATTCCCAAGTATCCTTTGATGCAGTATTGTCCTTTCAAGGTCACCACAAACTACAAAATCTAAGAAGATCTAGTAATTTCTCAAGTATTATTCAGCAGCGTCATCCTTCACTTGAAGGCTAATTTTAGGATGATACAGTCAACTACATACAAGGATGATTATGCAGACCCAAGATTTAGTTTCTGAAAAGCAGGATCATAAAAAATCATGCCAACTCTCTTTATACGCAAATGTTAGCCCTACCTGCCATAGGGTATTTTTCTTTGGAGACTCATCTTCATTCTGATCCTCCATTACTGACGTGTTCTAGGCAAAAAAAGAATTATGACTTCAATTTTTTATTCTATGGCAATTCCTTGCTCTACAAGCATTATGAAAAAGAAAATCAATTGAACAGATAAAATTCATTTTCCCAGTGAATGGAATTATCAAAGATTTCTGGCCACAAAACGTGGGTATTATAAATAAATTCCCCTTTTTACTGACATGTTTATCAATTCCATTTACTGTAAAGATAACTCCCCAACCCCTCTTCAATTTCCTTTGACAGGTTTTCATGCAGCCTTTCAACGCTTTTCTCACTGGGAAATAAATTCACTTTCATCCTACTCAAGCCAAAGTAATTAAACCTGTCAAAGTAATCAACTAGCACTTTCTGCCAAAGTTAAATTGCATACATAGAGAAAAAAAAAATAAATAAATCACTATATACTACTTACATGCAACAGAATACGATCTTTTTCCCAGCTCTATCTTACCACAAGGAGGAGGGACCGTTCTCTGCAGAACGCCTCTGTAACTCACTGCCCCAGTCCGTGTCCTATAACCCTTGGCAGTCACCATCCTTCTTCACCCTGACTTAATTAGAGCTCTCCCCATATCCTAACTGCTCCTCCCTACTGTTTTCTTCCCTTTTGTTCAAAAATGAGAGATGTAACAATTTCTATAAACATACAGCTGTAAATATATCTTTCAGGGCTCACCTCAGTTTTTCACTCATGCCTTCACTTTTGGGGTTTTTTGTGTGTGGGTTTTTTTTTTGTTTGTTTAATTATCTGCTCCCTTTTGCTGTCCATACCACAACTACCATCTATCTTTACCTACTCATTGGTACCCCACACCTAGGCAATTACTGCTCATTTAGCTTCCCACCAACCCTGCCCTCCCCACCATTCATGCCCAGGAGACACCAGCTAACTGGCAGAGGGCTATCATGAAAAACTGAATGTCTTAAAACACTGTATTTATTTCAGCCTTCTTCCCCTCCATCAGCTGTCTCAGCAGAAACAGGAACAACACACTCGAGTAAAACACATGATGGAATAAGTCACACAATTCCTTTACTCTTGCCATCACAGATTATGGATTAACCCTTTAACAACTACATCCACCTCCATTCAAAACACAATTCCACCTCAAAAGAGTTGACTGCTTCATCTCCTTCTCTTTCTTGCATAAGAAATGTACCACAGCAAAACCAGAAAACTTTAAAAATTAACAGTATTACCCTTATAGGAAAGCCTTCCTCCACTGCCTGACTACATTGCTTTCTCTGAAGTTTACCTCCAACTCTTTTCTGCCTTGCAGAATATGACAAAACATGCATCACACAGACAAAAGATTACATTATAAAAACTATGTCCACTGGGTGATGGAAAAACTCAAGTCTATCTGGTTACAACACACATAACAATGACAAATACAAGCCCAGGAGATGGCTAGTGGGAAATCCAGAAATGGACAAAGGCAGTAAATGTTTTGTGTCACTCCACAGATACATGTATTTTAGTGTTTCTGGACATAGACAGAACACTAACACTGTAGGTAAGTAAACCACACTTTCCACATTTTCAAAATTATAGTCTCTTGAGGGTCATTCCAGTTATTCATAACTACACACTGTTCGTAACCAGCACTCTCCCTGATGTACAAATGATGTGTGAACGATGCTCTCCCACCGCACGGTGCCACAAGAGGGAGCACAAATCAGCCACAGACTTACTGGTACCCAACTGGCCCACACCAGTTAAAATATTCTGGAAAGCAAACGTGACTCCAGGGAATTATGTATGGGGTTTTTCCATTTTATTTTATTTTAAATTTGAATGTGTAGAAATACTTGTTACAGTGATTATATGTGGTCAAGCCTGCATTCAATTAGTATGTCCTTAAATGAGTAAGAAACATCTCATCCGCTCTTGCAGTTGAAGGCTAGATATATGCATTGGTCCTGTGAGCTAAGAGCAAGGAACAAGAATTCTCATTGAGAATATCAAACATGGATGGCTTGGGTCAACATATTCAGCAGAAACCCCACATTATATCAATTTAGCCCCAACCTAGCTTTCCATCGGTAGGTCACAGCAAGATTGTATCATTGCTTTCTTCTGCTTCTTTACTGGGAAACACCTCAGAGATCATTGCTCATTTTCTCCAGGATGTAGGCTAAGAACTGTCTCATAAATGTTACATCTTTTCATGCTAGGAACATATAACAAAGCTATAGCAGCGCAGCACCGTAAAGCAAAGTGTGCAAGAACACAAACGTCACCAAAATGATCAGGCTTCTACACTAAGCTATTGATTGCACAGCAAGTTTTTGTCTTTGGTGTGCACCTACTCAATTCTACTGTGTCTCTGTTGCTGCCTAGGTAAAGAAAACTTAGTAGTAGGTTTCAGGGAGATGCTACATCCTTGGTGCGTCCACCGACACAAGGGAAAAGCAGGAGGACTGCATTTCTCCTGCCACTCTCCACTTGCTCCTCTTCCTTCAGAGCATCTGAGCAGGGTCTCGGCTAAGAAGATAGTGTCTGAGATCCACAGATGGGCAACCTGGCACAGACAGAACTGCTGCTAAGACACACTTCTGTGTCCTCTCAACATTTGGGCCATGAATCCAAGGCCAGACTACACGGATTGATTTTTAGGCTTGAAATTTAACACTGTATTTATGTATTTAACCAGTAAGTAGGCAGCTGCCTTAAATTAATGATATCTTACTGAGTTTTCTCTCTTATCCCATCCCAAACTCACTCCACATTTTCTTACTATATTTTAGAGCTTGAGTGTTTCAATCCTTCATTCTTTCCCTTTCTGCTCCCATTTATATAGCTTCTTTTCCCTATTACATCTTCTCTTCCTAGTAAATCCACTCTACCTTGGTCTTAAACACTTAATTTTTGAGGTCATTCCCCAGATCACATACATCCTAACTCAGACTCTAATGTGTCTCTAAAGCACTTAAGCCTACTAACTGAAGACTAAAAGATGACCTGGTGGATCCTGTCCTGTGGTCTGGAAGAAGCAATGAGACAACTCTAATCGGTCTTGTGCATACACAGCACTTGGCAAAAGAAGAATTCCCAAATTCCTAACAGCTGGTGTCACTAGTCCTTGCTCAGGAAGGCTTCCAGCTCCTGGCCAAGACAAAAGATAGGCATCTACAAGTTCAACTCTTCCCTTTGACATGCTCTTCCCTTCTCTCAACCTGTACCCCACCCACCCTCTTGCATAAAGCTACTGTGGTGGCCACCTCCGCAGGTTTCCCAAGTAGCTTTAAGTGGCATTAACAAGGACTCCACTCCATTTCCTGGCAGCTCTGCTGCTGAACAGCATCAAGACCTGGTGCAAACACTGACCTCTCATTCCAGTTACCCCAGCAAGACTGTGAGCCCCTGCAGTACAACTGACCTGCACTTGCAGACGCCGAAAGAACAGGCTTCATTTTTTACCCACCCAACCACAAGAGCCTAGCAGCTTCTCACGGTGGAAGCGTAGCTTCTAAATATCATCAATTAATCCTGTTTATAAGTTCATTTTTTTCCAGAAATCCTTGTTAAGTTGCTCACAGCTCTTGCAAAAGTAGAATTATTATTTCCAACCAGCTGTCACTCCTTAATTAGTCAGCCTGGAATAAGTGCTCTCCATCCCCTACTGGGAATGGCAGCAGCAGCAAAGTGGTAACAATGGGTCTAAGCATAGATGTTTGCCGTTGCCTTACAGTTGTTATAACCCAACGAAATAAAGTTACACTGAGAAAAGCCTCTGTCTGTATTTTGACTAACTGTAAAACCAGCAATGGCAGTAAAATTTACAAGTTGCTCTACAAGCTGTAGAGTTTTAAAAGCTTGTTTCCTGAAGATTTGCATCTCATATTCCTCACCTAGTTCTGCAGTAATTTCAAGCTTTCTTTAGTCTTTCTGCCCCACAACAACACAAGTCTTTGGAATCTCTATGAGATGCAGGTGAACATGGCAAACGGGTTCAAGTTACATGGGAAGAAAGAGATACTGACAAGCCTAATTACATAAAGCTCATTTCCTGTGGATATTATTAAAAGTTTCCAAAATAAACACCACCATAAATGATCCCCAAAGGCAAAAATGTTGTAGGTATTATAAAACTTCATAAATTACAGTTTCCATTAAGATCATTAGATATCTGGTAGCAACTAAGAGTGGCATCTCAAGCATAATAGTTCCACATATATATGGTTGTATGACACTAGGTGCAAAAGCACCTCAGTCTTTCTATGAAAAAAAAAGCTGCATCTTTTATAGCAGAAATCTAACAAACCTGTACAGGGCTAACCAGATTTCTACCAGACTTCTGTTAGCTGTAGGCAGGTAATGCTTGGGTTTGCACCATGCTTCAGGACTTGGGAGCGCCTTTAGTCACTTAATTGACTCTGAAGAGAAACAGCACGGTGCAGCTTTGTTCTTTAACCCAGTTGTACTCCCAGTATCGAGAGAGCAATTATAGAAGTGATAGTGGTAATCCTGGGAACTGGGCCAAGACACACAAGCTGCAGGAGTAGTACCTAGCAAGGCAGACAACATTGCCAAGTTTCTTTGATGAGAAACTCTTCCCTACCAAAGAATGGATTCACAGGATACAAAGGATGGATGGACAAAACTAGGCAATAACTGTGCTACCTTGAAAAAAAAGAATAGCAGCCTCAATTATCATATTTTCAGCTATAATAACAGGGAAAGAGATAGAAAACAAGAACTTCTATTTCCCACTACCCTTGAGACTACACCAGTAATTCTCATCTGAGTTAGAGAACAAGGTAAATCTTTAAAAAACTATTTTTTGACAAAATTCCCACTCACTGGAAAAGACACCAGGAAATTTCCGTTAAAATTACAAAATAAGCAAAACTAATCAAAACAGTTCTGCTAAACAGGCTTTGATCATCTTTAACAAATCACATCTACACCTGACTTTAGAGAAGTTGAAACAATAAAAAATAACTAACACATACTTGGGTATTTTGAAGTCAAGCCCGGCAGATTAAGCCTGAG